GTGGGGTCTCCTGCTTGGGCAGAGAGGGTTGGACTAGATGACCTCCAAGGTCCCTTCCAACTCTCTTCTTCTATATTCAATGGGACTCTGTTAATCTGTTAAATCTGGGCTAAAGCTTTCAAGAAGAGACTGGATTGCCATCAGTCAGAAAGGGTGCAGGGTCTCCTGCTTGGGCAGAGGGGGGGATTGGACTAGATGACCTCCAAGGTCCCTTCCAACTCTCTTATTCTATATTCAGTGGGACTCTTGTTAATCTGGCCTAAAGCTTTCAAGAAGAGACTGGACTGGCATCAGTCAGAAAGGGTGCAGAGTCTCCTGCTTGGGGAGAGGGAAGGGTTGGATTAGATGACCTCAGAGATCCCTTCCAATTCAATCTGTATCTCCTGCTCCAAAGTACAATTTTGAGAATCCATCAAGAGGAAATTAAGAGCCAGATTTAAGGGGGGGAAAGGGGGGGTTAGAATTAAAACTCCCCAGAGATTGATACGACTGTTTAAAAATTCTCTTTTATTGGCTGCAATTAAGAAAATTGTGGGGACCACAGATGTGCTGTGGGCTGAGATTTGGAGTAATATAAATATTTATATATTTACATGGCGACGTATAAGCATAATGGAACGTCACATTTTTAAAAAGTCTGGGAGAGATTGTGGTCTGTAAATTGGGTTGCAAAAGAAATCGGATCCCGAATTCAAAATCATAACAGATTTTAAGCTAGTTCAGTCGGTCCTATTAAGCTGACTCTGAAAACCCAACAGTCAGTCCTGGATTCAAAATCACAACAGATTTAAATCCGATCCACCCATGATCGCTGATCTGATCAGGTCAAGGGGACGAGAATGATCGAATTTAAATCTGATATGGCTTTGAACTCAGGACTGCTCGAAAGCTTAGTTCCATCCAACTAGGAAAAACAAAGGAAAAATTCCATTATTTTCCCTTTAAATTTAATTTAATTTAATTTAATTAACCACATTTATATGCCGCCCAATCTCAAAGGACTCCGGGCGGCTTACAAAAATAAAGAGGAAAAAAAAAAGACACATAACGAACACATAACAAAAGAAAAAGCAACACCTCATACATTCATTCTAATCGGGGGCACACCGCAGACTTCAGTTCTATATGCATTCATACCCATTGCATTAAGCCAAGAATCATAGCTACATTCTGGCTTAATGCGATCTCTCAACTCCCATTTAGAATGATCCGTTCTGAACCCGAACAAATGCATCTTCTAATCTTCTAAGTTCATACATATTGCATCTAGAGCCGAGGTGGTTAAATGCAGCACTGCAGGCTACTTCAGCTGACTGCAGTTCTGCAGTTCGGCTGTTCAAATCTCACCGGCTCAGGGTTGACTCAGCCTTCCATCCCCTCTGGAATGAGCTCCCCGTGGAGATCCGGACCCTTCCTACC